AACTTGCCTTCTGCTCGACCTGCAGCTTTCAGTCTTCGTCGCGCCCAGCAATAGGCATGCAATAGTACTGTATTTATTATAAACATTTCAACTATGTATACGGAAGTACAAAGCAATTTGTATCGAATGCCACTTGCGGTCCTGTTATTTAATTGTGGTGATAAACAGCATCCTGTGGTATATTTGAAACTTCTAAGGGGCAGCATTTTAACGGTTAGTTACTGACCCGCGCTTTGGATGTTTCGCAACGTTTAGTGGCGCATTATCTGCTGAACTTTCGGTGTTAGAATAGCATCTGGTCATCTCTCGAATCATTGCCGTGCTGGATTTCAGGCCTCTGTGAGTGCGTCACCACACAGATTCCACTTTTCAAGTTACGGTCGGATGTGCCTTCTTTGTTAATTGTGATTTTGTAGGTTTGTTGGGTGCGTTGAACATCGAATAACAGAATTAAAATATATTCTCCTGGCAGATTCAAGGTTTAGTACGTAACTATTACGTTGCCCTTCGTTCAGCTTTTGTTGCTAACAGGCACTGTTCCTTCGTACGTGTCTTCAAAAGGTGATAATGAGGTGCTTAGAAATTCCGTATCATTTTAAAATTTTCAATAACTTAACGACGATTCAGATGTAGTTTTAAAGTCAACGAAACTGGTGTATGTGTATTAATACTACGAAATCGTCAGCATTAATGTGTGATTTGCAAGTGGTGAAAATTTTGTTACGGCAACAGTATCTCTTTCAGAAGCCTATCTATGTGGAGGAGGCTTCTCGTCAAGCCATCTGCCTCAGCTTTTCCAGATGACGCAAGAGAATAGTATGCTGAACGCTGGCATTTGCAAGATACCGTTATAGTCTCAACAGTCTTTTGCGACACCCCTTTGTCATTCATTTAATTGGACAGTCAAAATTCAATAGCATAAGGAGTCTAACAGTTTAGTAGTCACGTAATAAGATTGCCAAGTTGTTAAAACTCTCCAGCGTTTTTCATTGCAAATTGCTCTGGGTGTGACATCAGATTTTCATTCTCCTGTATTCCGACATTTTTGCTGCCGTTTCAGAATTACACAGTATGGGGTGAAGCATTCCTTGTAGATGAAAGCAGAAATGTCGGAATAAGCTCGAAGGAAATATCCTCAGTCGCGGCCAAATCCATCTGCTTTGAAATGATTGTGCGATTTTAATACGCGTACAAATATATAAGAGTAATAGCCACAGACGCATAACATATGAAAAATTGAATGAAGACAGAAAGCGGATTCGTGAATAAAAATTGATATGTTAATGTCTAAATTGACAGAATAGGATTGTATCAGTAGATCTGAGCCGATCCCATTTTTTTCATTTATAATTCATCACAACAAGCTGTGTGGAATACTGATTTCATGTGGGCATCATTTCTTGCGCATATGCAGACATATCTAGAACTTTTTGTCTAGGACCTCATAATGATTTTAAAAGAGCTTTGTTCGGTGAATGGAGAGGATCATTTGGCATTTGTTTTTTTTTTGATTTGCAATATATCTTACAGTTTGATCTTTTTTAGATTGAGGGGTGGAAGGGTAACACCTTGTGCTAATGGGTTGCTGCACTAGACAGTGAGTTATCGGTTGGGCTACGGCGAAACGCAGCCACAATTAACATTTTCATCAAACCGCATGAACATATATCTGGCTAATTTTGGTATGATCACACCAGGACACCATGCTGTCTCTCTTGTTCGCATGACATCGATTTGTTCTCCGTTTTGGAACTGGTCAAACCGAAGCAACATCATGAGCTGAATTTGTTACTCAAGTTCCTGAACACCTAAACGCAGCGCTTCTCGAGTTCGAAGTTGATCTCCTTGCCATTGTGCCACCATACCCCAAAACTGGACCGTATTTTTTTTCGACATT